GCTCCAGCCTGGGTGACAGAGCAAGACTCTATCTCAAAAGAAAAAAGAATAAATTGTTAATATAAGGTATTTACTAAGAGGGTGATATAGTTTGGATATTTGTCCTTGCCCCAGATCTCATTTTGAATTGTAATCCCCAAAGCTAAAGGTGAGACCTCGTGGAAGGTGTTTGGATCATCGGGGTGGATCCCTCATTGCTTGGTCCTATCTTCATGATAGTGCGTTCTCATGAGATCTGGTCATTTAGAAACGTGTAGTACCTTCAAACCTCCCCCACAACTCTCTTTCTCTGCCTTGCTCCTGCTTTCAGCATGTGATGTTTCTGCTCCCCGTTTGCCTTCTGCTATGATTATAAGCATCTTGAGGCCTGCCCAGAAGCAGATGCTGCTCTACTTCTGGTAAAGCCTGTAGAATCATGAGCCAAATAAATCTCTTTGCTTATAAATTACTCAGTCTCAGTTATTCTTTTTTTCTTTTCTTTTCTTTTTTTTTTTTGAGACGGAATCTCACTCTGTTACCCAGGCTGGAGTGCAGTGGTGTGATCTCAGCTCACTGCAACCTCTGCCTCCGAAGTTCAACTGATTTTCCTGCCTCAGCCTCTCAAGTAGCTCGGATTACAGGCGCAGGCCACCATGCTCAGTTGAATTTTGTATTTTTAATAGAGATGGGGTTTCACCATGTTGATCAGGCTGGTCTCGAACTCCTGACCTTGTGACCCACCTGCCTCGGCCTCCCAAAGTGCTGGGATTACAAGTGTGAGCCACAGCACCCAGCCCTAAATTATTTCTTTTTTTTTTTTTTTAAATAAAGACAGGGTTTCACCATGTTGGTCAGGATGGTCTCGAACTCCTGACCTCGTAATCCTCCCGCCTTGGCCTCCCAAAGTGCTGGGATTACAGGCTTGAGCCACCACACCCGGCGATCTTTAAGATTTAATGACTGCTCTCCTGGGTTTTGGACTTGCATGGGGCCTGTAGCCCCTTTCTTTTATCTGATTTCTCCCTTTTAGGGTGGTAGGGTTTACCCAATGCCTATACCCCCATTATATCTTGGAGGTAAATATTTTGTTTTTGAGTTTACAGGCTTATAGGTGGAAGGAACTTGCCTTATCTTAGACAAGACTTTGGACTTTTGAGTTAATGTTGGACTGAATTGAGACTTTGGAGGACTGTTGGGAAAGTATGATTGTATTTGACAATGTGAGAAGAACATGAGATTTGTGTGTCCCCACCCAGCCTCATGCTGAATTGTAAACCCCAGTGCTGGAGGTGGGGCCTGACGGAAGGTGTTTAGATCACAAGTGCAGATCCCTCATGGCTTGGTGCTGCCTTCATGATAGCGAGTTCTCATGAGATCGGGTCATTTAAAAGCATGTGCCACTTATCTCCCACTGTCTCTCTGCCTTGTTGCTGCTCTCGCCATGTGATGCACCTGCTCCCCTTTTGCCTTCTGTCATGATTGGAAGCTTCCTGAGGCCTCTCCAGAAGCAGATGCTGTTATGCTTCCTGTAAAGCCTATAGAATCATGAGTCAGCTGGGCGTGGTGGCTCACACCTGTAATCCCAGCACTTTGAGAGGCCAAGGTGGGTAGATCATCTGAGGTCAGGAGTTTGAGATGAGCCTGGCCCACATGGTGAAACCTTGTCTCTACTAAAAATACAAAAATTATCTGGACATGGTGGCAGGCACCTGTAATCCCAGCTATTCAGGAGGCTAAGACAGGTGAATCACTTGAACTTGGAAAGTGGAGGTTGCAGTGAGCCAAGATCGTGCCATTGCACTCCAGCCTGGGCAACAGAGGAAGATTCTGTCTCAAAAAAAAAAAAAAAGATTTTTTATTTTTTTATTTTTTTTTTGGGCGGGGAGGAAGGCAGAAAGGAAGGGAATAAGGAGGGTACGGAGGAAGGAAGGGATGAAGGAAGGAAGGAAGGGAGGAAGCGGGGAGGGAGGGAAGGAGGGAAGGGAAGAAAGGAAATCAAGCAATGAAAGAGACATTGCCGACCTGGATCTAGAGGTTTACAAGTTGATTTCTTTTTTTTTGAGAGAAGGAAAGAAAAAAAAGAAAATAAGTAAAGGAGAGGAAGAAAGAGGAAGAGAAAGAGGGAGAGTAAATGGAAATATTGCTTTATTTTGAAAAAAATTGGGTATTAATAATGGCCAATCAATGTTTCATTTAAACTAATGGGTAGGTGTGATGTGGTATTGACAAGAATGTATATTTTGTGTATTTGAAGTGGAGAGCTCTATAAATATTTATTAAGTTTACTTGTTCTGGATCTGAGCTCGAGTCCTTGATATCCTTATTAATTTTCTGTCTCATTGAATTTATGTCTCCTATCTGGGTGTTAGGATCGTTAGCTCTTGTTGTTGCATTGATCCTTTTACCACTATATCTTTGTTGCTTTAAAATCTATTTTATACGATACAAGAATTGCAACTCCTGCTTTTTATTTATTTATTATTTATTTTTGCTCTCCATTTGGTTGGTAAATCTTTCTCCATCCCTTTGTTTTGAGTCTTTGTGTATCCTTGCATGTGAAACAGGTCTGGATGTAACATGCCGTTGGGTTTTGGCTGTGTCTTTTGATTGGGAATTCAGTCAATTTAAATTTAGGGTTACTGCCATTTGATGTTGACTGGCTGTTTTATCCATTTGTTGGTGTAAATTCTTCTTTATGTTGGTGCTCTTTACTTTTTGGTGTATTTTTAGAAAGGCTAATACTGGTTGTTTCTTTCTGTGTGTAATGCTTCTTTCAGAAGCTCTTGTAAAGCAGGCCTGGTGGTAATAAAATCTCTGAGTTCTTGCTTGTTCATAAAAGATTTTATTTTTCCTTCAGTTGTGAAGCTTAGTTGGCTGGATATGAAATTCTGGGCTGAAGGTTCTGTTCTTTGAGGATGTTGAATATTGGCCCCCACTCTCTTCTGGCCTGTAGAGTTCCTGCCGAGAGATCTGCTGTAAGTCTGATAAGCTTGCCTTTGTGGGTAATCTGACCTTTCTCTCTGGCTGCCCTTAGTATCCTCTCCTTCGTTTCAACCCAGGTGAATCTAACGATTATGTGCCTTGGGGTTGCTCTTCTTGAGGAATATCTTTGTGGTGTTCTCTGTATTACCTGGGGTTGAATGTTGACCTGCTTTGCTAGTTTAGGAAAATTTTCCTGAATAATATCCTGAAGGGTATTTTCCAGCTTGGATTCATTCTCTCCGCATTCAGGTACACCTATCAAACGTAAATTAGGTCTTTTCACATAGTCCCACATTTCTTGGAGACGTTGCTCATTCCTTTTTATCCTTTTTTCTCTAATCTTTTCTTCACGTTTTATTTCATTAAGTTGGACTTTGACCTCTGATATCCCTTCTTCTGCTTCAACAATTCGAGTGTTTAAACCTGTGCATACTTCTCGGAGTTCCTGTATTGTATTCTTCATTTCCATTAATTCACTCATACTCCTCTCTAAGTTGTCTATTCTCAATAGGATTTCATCCAACCTTTTTTCAAAGTTCCTAGTTTCTTTACGTTGGGCTACAACATGTTCTTTTAACTCACCGAAGTTTGTTATTATCCATTCCTTGAAGAGTGATTCTGTCATCAGGAGGCGCTCGTTCTCCATCAAGCCTTGTTCCATTGTTGATGTGGAACTGTGATCATCTTTAGAGGGAGAGGCGTTCTGACTTTGAGTATTCTCAGCTTTCTTACGCTGGTTTCTTCCCGTCATTGTAAATTTATCGTCCTGTCGTCTTTGAAATTACCAACTTTCAGATTAGGTCTCTTGAGTGGACTTCCAGGTTGTTAGTTCCCAGGGCCAGAGCAGCGGCGTTAAAACTAATGGTGCTTTTCTGCCCAGGGTTCTCCTGTCGGGCTTCCTTCTTGTTTCAGTAGTAGGCGACTCTGCCTTCCCGGGGCTCCAAACCTCGGTCAGAAGGGGAAGCGGTCCCGTTTACTCTGCTCCGAGAGCTGCCGCGTCGAGGTGCCGGCGGAACCGCTGCGCCCACCACGAGAGTCGCGCTGGCGACTCGTGTGTTTCCACCACTGGGGGATCTTCTGCTCCGTGAGCGACCAGACTTTGAAAGTGTGGCGTCCTCTAGTTCTCGGCACCTTCCCTGAGAGCTGCAATCCCGGGATGTTAGCGATCGGCCATCTTGGATCGTTCCAAAAAAAAGATTTTATAAGTATTTTTATAGAGCACTTATTATGACTGCAAGTTGGTCTGGGTGAAGCAGTCAGTGAGTGGTAAGTGAGTGTGAAGGCCTAGGACATTACTGAACATTACTGCAGACCTTATAAACACTAGACAATCAGACTGCACTATTTCAAATATTGTCCTCCTTCAATAATAAATTAACCTTACCTTACTGTAATGTTTTTTTACTTTATAAATTTTCATTTTTTTAACTTTTTGACTCTTTTGTAACAACCCTTAGCTTAAAACACAAACACATTGTATAGCTCCACAAAAATGTTTTTTTCTTTCTATCCTTCCCCTGTAAGCTTCTTTCTATCCTGGAACTTTTTTTTAACTTTTAAAACGTCTTTGTTAAAAACTGAGACATAAACATACACTGACAGAGCAGGACATTTGTTTATACCAGCAGCACCACAGACACTTGACAAATGTGTTGTACTGTGTCGTTATGACAGCTACAGTGTCACTAAGACACAGGAACTTTTTAGCTCTGTTATAATCTTATGAGACCGCCATTGTATATGCACGTGGTCCGTCACTGACTCAAATGTTGTTATACGGTGCATGACTGTATTTATTCTCTTTTCATGGTTTGTTACAGACTAAGCGATAATAATTTTTTTTTTTTTTTTTGAGACAGTCTTGATCTGTCACCCAGGCTGGAGTGCAATGGTGTGATCTTGGCTCACTGCAACCTCTGCCCCCCAGGTTCAAGCGATTCTCCTGCCTCAGCCTTTGGAATAGCTGGGATTACAAGCATGTGCCACCACACCAGGCTAATTTTTGTATTTTTTTTCTTTTTTTATAAAAAAATTTTAATTACAATATGGAATGCTTCAAAAATTTTTATGTCATCCTTGCTCAGGGGCCATGGTAATCTCTGTATCTTTCCAATTTTAGTATATGAGCTGCCGAAGCGAGCACTAATTTTTGTATTTTTAGTAAAGGCAGGGTTTGACTATGTTGGCCAGGCTGGTCTCAAACTCCTGACCTCAGGTGATCTGCCTGCCTGGGCCTCCCAAAGTGCTGGGATTACAGGAATGAGCCACCATGCCTGGCCAGCTATAACGATTTTTAAATCAACTTTTGATCACATTGTCTTAAATTAAATAAATCACATTGACCTGTGCAAATGACAAAACAATCCCACATTATAATTAAATGTGAGAGTAATCATCCACTAGTATATAATAATTAGTATTTTTCCTCATCATTCTTTTTCTTAAGAAAACTGAGCGTTTTGATAATGAACCTGGGACATAGAAAGAAGATGGGTCCACCTTGTAGAGCAAAAAAATTAATCCAAAATCGATATGGGGAAACAGCATTCTATAATCAGTATTGCGGTGGCTTTAAAGTATGTCCTCAAATGATTTGATACTCCTCAAAGGTGGAGCTTAATTCCTCTTCCCTCTGATGTGGACTAGAATTGATCTTTTCTAATAATAGAACATGATAGCCAGGCATGGTGGCTCATGCCTCTAATCCCAGCACTTTGGGAGGCTGAGGTGGGCGGATCACGAGGTCAAGAGATCAAGACCATCCTGACCAACATGGTGAAACCCCGTCTCTACTAAAATACAAAAATTAGCTGGGTGTGGTGGCGCATGCCTGTAGTCCCAGCTACTTGGGAGGCTGAGGCAGGAGAATTGCTTGAACCAGGAGGCAGAGGCTGCAATGAACCGAGATTGTGGCACTGCACTCCAGCCTGGTGCTTGGCAACACTGCAAGACTCTCTCTCAAAAAAAAAAAAAAAAAAAAAAGAACATGATAGAAGCGACAATGTGTGACTTTCTCATGGAAAGTCACAAAAGGTATTGCCACTTTTTTTTTCTTTTTGAGGCAGAGCCTCTCATTCTGTCACCCAGGCTGAAGTGCAGCAGTGCAATCTTGGCTCACTGCAACCTCCACCTCCCAGGTTCAAGTGATTCTCATGCCTCAGCTTCCCATGTAGCTGAGATTACAGGTGCCCACCACCACACATGGCTAATTTTTGTATTTTTGGTAGAGACGGGGTTTCAGCATGTTGGTCAAGCTGGTCTTGAACTCCTGACCTCAAGTAACCTGCCCACCTTGACCTGCTCGGATTATAGGAATGAGCCACCGTGCCCAGCATTGCCACTTCCATCACTCGCTCTTTGGACCACTCACTCTGAGAGAAGCCAGATACCATGGCATACACAGCGGCACTCAGGAAGTCTGTAGAGGGGCCCAGGTGAGAAGAAACGGAAGCCTACAGCCGACAACCAGCACCAACTTGCTAGCCACATGAAAGATCCTCCAGCCCTAGTCAAGCCTTCAAAGGACTGCAGCCCCAGCCAAAACCTCAACTACAACCTCATGAGAGAGACCCTGGGCCAGAACCACCCAGCTAAGCCACTCCTGAATTCCTGACCCACAGAAACTGTGATGACAACGAATATTTATTGTTGTTTTAAGCCTCTAAGTTTGGGGGGATAATTTTATACAGGAACAGATATGTAACACAAGTAAATACTGTATTGCTCCAAGGACCTTTTACTCTGTGAGAGCCAACGGGTGTGAGAAATTACCCACATAATCAGCTTGATAGCGACAGTATGACACATCAATGCGACCACAGATACACTCAGAAGCACACACACGATCTCATGTTTGATCAATTGTTCATGGGGTCATTTATGTTTATTTTTATTTTTAACCATGGTAAATAAACATTGATATTTAAAATACAAAATTTTTCGTCTTAACTATTCTAAGTGTACCATCCCATAGTGTCGAGTATAGATGCATTATCCTGCAGCTAGTTTCCAGAGCTTTTTCATCTTGCCAAACTGAAACTGTAGGCTATTAAATGGTAACTTCCTGGTTCCCCTCTCCCCAGCCCCTGGAAACAACCATTCTACTTTCTGTCTCCCTGAATTTGACTACTCTGAATATCTCATGTAAGTGGAATCACACAATGTTGTTCATTTGGTTTCTGGCTTATTTCACTTATCATAATGTCCTCAAGTTTCATCTATATTGTAGCATATAACAGGATTTTCTTTTCTAAGGCGGAATAATATTCCATTGTATGTATATATCACATTTCATCTATCCATTCATTCACTGGTGGACATGGGTTTCTTCCACTTTTTGGCTAGTGTGAATAATGCTGCTATGAACTTTGCTATACAAATACCTCTTCAAAACTCTGTTTTCAATTCTTCTGAGTATCTAAGAATGAAATTGCTGGATCATATAGTAATTCTACTTTTAATTTTGAAAAATCACCTTACTATTTCTCATACCAGCTGTTATTTACATTACCACCAACAGTGCTCAAGAGTTCCAATTCCTCCACATTATTGTCAACACTTTTTTTATAGTAGCCATCCTACTGGGTGTGTGGTAAAGTACCATTATAATGGGTTGTGTTAATGTGTAGTTTATTTTTTATTAATTTTATTATTATTATTATTATTATTATTATTGAGACAACGTCTCACTCTGTCGGCCAGGCTGGAGTGCAGTGTTGTGAACTCAGCTCACTGTAAACCTCTGCCTCCCGGATTCAAGCAATTCTCCTGCCTCAGCCTCCTGAGTAGCGGGGATTACAGCCAATTTTTGTATTTTTTTTTTTTTTTAGTAGAGATGGTTTTCACCATGTTGACCAGGCTGGTCTCAAACTCCTGACCTCAAGTGATCCATCTGTCTTGACCTCCCAAAGTGCTGAGATTAGAGATGTCAGCCACTGTGCCCCGTCAGTTATGTGCAGTTTAAACATTTATTTATGTAGTAAGAGCAAAGTCATTCTGTCCTAAATTGAACTACTTTTCAGTTTCATGAATATCCAGGCAAAATGCTTGTGTGTGTGTGTGTGTGTGTGTGTGTGCGCGCGCATGCGTGTGTGTTTGAAAAGACACTTGTATTTCATATCTATTTTCTTTTTTATGAAAATTGTACTGTACATTCATATCTATTTTCATTTCTCGTGTGTGATTGTCCTCAAGTAGGAGATTTCATTTTCTATTTGCTATTGTTCTCAGTGAGGAGCTGGTCAGTGACAGAGAAAATAGTATCAAAGCATCAGAGAACATGGAGGTTACCAGCCTCTTCTGAACTGATCGGCCGTCACCGAGTCCTCACTCCTGATCAACAGTGTCTCTCCTTATCTCTTTACACCCAGCCCCAAGTGGACCACAATTCTAGTTACACCCATGAGAATTCAAGAAGGGAACTGCTTTCCTGAAAAGGAACCCAAGGGCTGGACCTCTGATGTTGCAATGACAGAGATCTGTGGTTCTTGTTTCTGGTAACCAGTCACTGGTTTCTATTTTCTAGCTTCCCTGGGCCGCGGAAGGGGCTGCTCACCTATCAACACCTTGGATTAACCAGACTCTCCCTGGAAGTGTGTACAGAGCTTAGTCCACAATTCAGAGTCATGAGAAATGGCTCATTCTATAGATCACCAGTGGTTTTGCTTTCTACTTGCCACTATGGTCCCCTTGGGAGACGAAGAATGATCTCATTGATTATTGCAGAAAACTCACTTACCTCCCAACTCCAATTACTGTGGCCATATGAACTTTGTCATCTCCTTCTCACCAGCAGCTGCCGCCTCCACATATAATAAGGCCTGTTGTTCTTGAGCTGCAGCCACCTCCCTGCTGTCGCCATTGGATTTGATACAGGAGGGGATCGGGGAAGTTCTGGGTAGAGTAGGGCAGGTCCTTGGCTAGGGCTCCACTCCCGGGCCTGTGCCCATGGACCTAGGTGGGGACAGGCATTTCTGTTTCCATGCCCAAATATTGCATTTGGGCCGTGCCCCCATCCTGTACCTATAAACACCCCAAGACCCTAGCGGGCAGAGCCACAAGTGGCTGGACGTCAATAGGAACACAGGTGCGGAAGAATACACCGGCAAGTACTGGCAGACCCCGGCGGCCATTGAGCAGCGGAAGTATGCGGGGTTTGGCCCAGGGTGGCAGGAGAGCCCACCCGCTGGGTGGCTTGACTTCAGGGGAAAAGCACCCTCCCACTCCATCCCTTTCTGGCCTCCCCAACCACCTCGCTGAGAGCTACCACCACTCAATAAAAAACCTTGCACCCACCCTCCAAGCTCACCTGTGATCCGATTTTTCCAGTACACTAAGGCAAAAACCCTGGGAGACAGAAAGCCCTCTGTCCTTGTGGCAAGGCAGGGCCCTCACTGAGCTGAGTGACACAAGCCGCCTGCAGGCGGCTAAACTGAAGGAATGCACTTGTAACACACGCCCACTGGGGCTTCAGGAGCTGTAAACACTGGACCCTAGACGCTGCCGCGGGTGGGATCCCCATGACCTGCCAGTCATCATGCTCCCCCTAGAGGTCTGAGCAGCCAGACATGGAAGAAGTGAGCCATACCCCCATACACGCTCTTCCAGGGGGATAAGGGAACTCTTCCTGTTTCAGATTCACCCCAGAGGCGACACCATGTTATACCATCATATAGGTAGTCTCTGCTACCTCTGCCTCAGCAGCCATTAGGTCTATTAGGTCTATCGTGATTACATCTGCCATCATCTCCTCAGTCATCACTGCCTGGGGTGCCATCTTCTCCACCTCCCTGTCCTTAGTAGCTGCCACAGCCCCTACCCGTGCTGGCCCACCGTTATCCCCCATGTCATCTCCAAAACGTTTTTTGTCTATTGTCTGTTTTTTTCCATGAAAAATAGAAGAGCAGGATGACCTCTGTTTCTTTTTTTCAAGAAGAAAATGAGAGTTCTCAAGTTTGAGGATACTTTTTTGCACCAGTTGATTATATTTCTGCATGGGGAATGGATTACTTATTTTAAAAACTAAATTATATCCTAAGAATTTTTAGATTCCAAGTGAGGCATCTTGGAGTTGATAAGAAAAACGTGATCTATAATGCAAAGTCAAATTAGCTATTAGATTCTTCTGAAACACTGGCTCTTTTC